GGAAATTCTGCTGCTTTCAGTAGGAGCTGAAGGAGCTCAAAGGTATTTTATTATAATTTATGTTTTTATTAGTATAAAGATATATAGAGATTAAGTACAACAACAAAAAAAATCTCAGAAAGTTAGTCTCAAAAATATTTAGGAACCTAAAATATTAACTGATGCCTAGTGACGTGTATCTAGTACAGTGCACAGTACAAACTACGCTATCTACTTCCAGTTTTGAAAATATCACCGTATTGAGGAATCTCAATGCCTAAACATTTCTTAAAGTTCCCTCTGAAAAACTGATGATTTATAGGTCTCACATGAAGCAATTACTTTAGAGTTTCCCTCGATCACCACTTAACAGACCAGCATGTTCTCAGCAGGACTCTCCTGCTCTAACAGCGCTTGGAACTTGTCAGGAAATGACACTCGCAAAGTAATTACTGGACTTTCAGTGTGAAAACTCAAAGGATAAATTGAGTAGCGTTGCACAGGAGACAGACTTCGTTTTGTACTATTCAGTGTTTTCATTAACGATCTGGGGATGGACTGGAGATTTTGTTTATTAAATTTGCAGACTGACACAAAGATGGAAAGAACTGCAAGCAGGTTGCAAAGGGGATTCAAATGCAAAACAAGTTTGACAAATAAGAGAAGCAGTAACATACAATTCAACAAGTGGGGAAAAAAAAAATCTTGAAAAAGTTCAGCAAGAATTACCAGCTTCACAAGGACTGGCTGAAGAACACATTTTCTTCAGAAAAAGACCCAGAAGTTATAGCAGCTTACAAACTGACACACGTTAACAACCTCATGCTGTTGCAATAAAAGCAAATATCCTGCTGGGAGGTTATAGACAGCAGCATAGTCTGCAAAACACAAGTAATCTTTTCAGTACTCAGCACCAATAAAGGCTTCTGCTGGAATAGCTTGTGAAGTTTTACACATCTCCAAGAACGAGTTGGACATGTTGGAGAAGTCCAGATGAGGACAACGAGAATAATCAGAGCTTTGGAAAAAACACGAGGTACAGGGAAAGGGAAGAAGGGCTGAGATTTCACAGCCTAGAGAAGGCTGAGGGAGTCACAGTCTTCAAGCACATAAACAGCTGCTGCAAAAATGAAAGGAGCAGGTTGCTCTCTGTATGGTAGGATAAGAAGAAATACGACTTAAATTACAATAAAAAAGGTTCAGCTTAGATGTTTGGAAAACAGTAAGGGTAACACTAGTCACTGAGCTGTCTAGGGAAGACTATGGAATCTCCCTTTACTGAGCATCTTTAAGAAGAATTAAACAAAAAGCTTTATGGACACCATGAGATGCAAAAGCCTTGGATGGAGCTTTGATATATGTCTGACTAGGTTGGCGCTATACCTAACCTCCTGCTTATTTGACCCATATTTTGCACAATTGATTCGCATTTTAATTGAATCCAAGCCTAAGTGTGAAGAACAGACAACTTCACCACTTTTCAAAGCATTGTTTTCAGGGAAAGATTGAAAAAAATAAAATAATCCACAGTGATAACAACTATCTAGGATTACCGTATTTGCTTATTAACATGATAGTCCAATTAATCTTCTGAATAAACAAAGATTACCAGACTATTTGAGTGATATCTATTCTGGAGAAAAGCATGCATCTTTGTGTTCACAGGCATCCAATCTCATCTTGTGCACTAATGCCTTGTAAAAGAAAGATACATATCTAGCAAGACACGGGCTGCTAAAATTATTAAATGCTGAACAAGACTCATTTCATTATACTTGAGGTTTATTAAATCGTATTAGTTAACACCTGCTAAGCAAAAAGTATGAAGTGCAATATAGAAAATGCAACACTTATTTCATGTATGTTTAACTGAGAATCCAGGGTCTCCATAAATTTTACGTTAATTAACTGGAACATTTAATGAACAAACTCTTCATTATGTTCTAATCAAAACAAGGTCTGAGAGCTTAAGGAAAAACACCAATGAGCATCCATCTGATGATGTATCGTTTCTGAACTAACTTTTTTTTTCCCCAGGATTCTGATTTGTTAATGAATCATCCTAGCAAAATATTTAGGTAAAAAGGGGCTATTCTCCTGGCCACTGTACTCCTAAATTTTAACAGATTCAGCAGAATATAATCCTTGACTGTATAAATGTTTTTTTTGCCATGTTCTTTATATTTCGCTACAAAAGTACACTACATTTTCCAAACAAGGTCAACTTCCTCAGGATCGGTTAGTTGGACAGCTGTTTATGCCGGGTCTTTTAAGTCCTTTCTTAAACTCAAGAAATACTTTTCTTTCAAACAGAGGCTCAGCAATATTCATTGTGCTCCCACTTTCAGGAACTTGGACAATATCAAGAATGAAGCAAGACAGATGGAGCTCCAAATGGCTCAGTAGCAGGATATTTAACTGAAGGATTTCACCTTTGTATGGGCAATGGGGAAGACATACCTCAGGATGTACTTCATTGCCTGTTCCACAAGTATTTCTTACCCTCTTTGTTTAATGAGCTACTTCCTGCTAAGTAGCAAACATATGAAAGTTCAGTGCAGCCTCCCTGTGTCTTTTGATCTTGTCTTATACATTCTCAGGCTTTGAGGAGTTTTTTAGGTGGATCAAGGAAAGGTGAGCTCTGATTCTCACACAGACTCTCTTTCCATATTGATGCTTTAGTCTGCCTACAAGTGATTCTGGCTTTAAGTATAGGTGCAGTCTCAAAGTAATATGCACTTACAGAGTACATCTCATTTAGCAGTTCTACAAACATCTAGGTTCAAAACACCAATCAAACCAAGGAAGCTGAACCATCTCACAAATCCTCTGCTCTGGTTGACATTTGATGTTAACCACAAGGGAGCTTGTTCTGAATCCACATCTGTGCTGTACTGACCACCCGATATGTACAGTCAAGTCATTAGAAGCCCCAGAAGACCAGCAGAACATCAGATTTCTGGTTCACAGTCTAACAACAATAGCCTATCTCGGAGGCTACAAGAGCCACTCCTGATACTCATGTTCATGAATATACATATCAGAAGATACGGAATCATTTGGCCTTATTTAAATGAAATTGATCCCTTGGTAAATATACAGTGAAAAATCTGCTTAAAACTACCTTGGAAAAGACAAGGAGGAGGAGGGTGGCAAGAAGGGTGGGAAGGGAAGAGGAAGGGAAAAAAAAAATAAAATCAATCACCTAAGAGAGGTGGCCTTTAAGAAAAAGTCTAGTGAAAATTGTATGGGAAAGCCATGGGGACAAAGTACTTTAAAGTCATTGATTAAAGTAAAGGAGGGTGGAAAAGCAAAAGGTCTGACAACCGTTCTACCTCACATCATGATCTTATCAGCTCTCAGAAGACTTAGATGAAAAGCCTCAGGAAGACATACAGTCAAGCTTTAAAAGAGTTCACAAAAAGTTTAAGACACGTATTTTTCTCAGGTGCAGTTTAGCTTTGCAATATTTTGGTGATCATACAACTTGAGCTTTGTGCATACATTTTATTGTCAGCCTTGGGGAGTGAAAGAAAGGGAAAAGTGGCACCATCTGGTTACAGTTTCCTGTTTTCTGATTCTCATTCGTATAAGCCCTTTCTGCTAGCAAACATTTGGTTATTTTCACATCTGTGCAGCCCCTGATCTCCCCAGTGGCACCTGAAGTAAGAAATAAGAGCAATGATTCATAAGCTGCAACTCAGGCCTGTGCATCAATGCCAAGCAATAAACGCACAAGCTGTAGACAGCAGGGAAAGGGAAAACACTTCCAGACTGGATTTGTGCCTTTTCAACACCACTGTGATCAACAGCTTCTCCAAATAGATCCCAGCACCTCAGCATGTCATTATACTGAACAGTGCCAGATGGGACCTGCAATTTTATGACACATCAGGTGCTATTACTTCAGGTGAAGCAATTAATATCTGTCAAGATAAATGACTCCATCTTTGGATCACCTGGATCGCCCTCCACAAAATCTTCCAAAGCCAAGGAGGTTGATGTCGTATGGAGGTAACCAAAGGCAGCAGTTTGTCCTGCGCCCTTTTTCCTCTTTGACAAACCAAACAGCAGTAAGGAGGTTTCACCCTGGTTCATGAAATTGCTCTGGGTTTGTCTAGAGCCCTGCCTAGAAAATCTTTTCAATGAACACCTCATATTTCTCAGTGAAAAAAGGGGAATCATGCAAACAGGGCTGGATTCTGCCCAGCTCTCACGTTTCGCTCGAAGCACGCAGTAATTGCTAGCCAAGCCACCTCGGTAGCTGCCCAGGACTAACTCAGACCACTCCACCACATCTTCTCAGCCTACACATAACACTATCATTCCTTCTCCTAATTGCTCTTTACTCCAGGTCGCAGACCAGGGAATTTCCACCAATACACGCTGTCAGCTATCCTTGTTAGAGGGGAGTTTTCTGCTGCTCACTTCTCCAGATAACAGACTCCCAAACATGCAAGTAATGAAACAAGCAGAATGCTACAATGACTATATATCTGGCAGGCACACTCAGACAAATTCAATAGTGCTGCAAGCTGATGTATATTTAATTCTGGCATATCAATCACTTCACATTCCAGTATGGTTATCAAAAGATTGTATTTGTCTATAATACAAACCACTTTTTTCCCACTCCAATTACCTTATGGAAATTTTTAGCACAGATAATATATAGTATTAATAAATCCTTCCTAACATGGCAATAAAAGACTGATTTTCTCTCTTTGTCCCTTTCTTTGTATCAGGAAAACCTCACACATTTCAACTTTCTTAAGAATAAATTATAGGATCATAGAATAAAGCACAAAAAATAATATTGTTTCATACACGTCTACCAACACTTTCTGATACATTAGACCAGTTTGAGCTCATATCACGTAATAATCAATTACATTAAATAACCTACTGCAAATTCATTGCCAATAAGATACAAAGTCATTTTCAATTTCTGATATGCCATCTCTTCAGTTACGCACCACAAATAGCACTTTCATGCAAGCCATAACGGTTTCTGCCTTTACCTGTGAAAAAGTGTCTTGTGTTCTTGTATTATCCATGTCTGTGAAAATTCTATTTGTTTCATCAGTATCCCATAGGGTTGCAAACTATAGTTTATTCATGAATCACACCTGCTTTTCCACAGCACAGTTCTCGTTCTTTCTCTCTGCTTCTCTCTCTTATGAAATCTTGCAGCCAATGGCTTTTATTAAGTGTTACTTCCTTTTATGCTGAGAACTGAAAGAAACAATAATGATGCTTTGCTTCCTTATGGCAGCTCTGTGAAAAGACAAAAAAAAAAAAGTAGAAGTTGTTTGTTTGCTTTTCCTTAAACTAATATTTATGTTCTAGTGACTTCCCGAAATCACTGAGCCATGAATGCTGAAATTATGATTTATTACCGTACATTGCATCTATCTGAACATCCAACATGTTAGTTACCAAAACAAATTTCATACTAAATGTAACAAAGTTTGCCTGAGGAATTACAAATACAATGCTCAATTTTCACAGCAATATTTTTATGCACAGCAGCAATCTTTAACATATGTCTTCAAACTCCAGCACGAATATGTGCACATTGAATGAAAGCACAAAGGCACCTGCAGGTTAATGCACAAGACTCCTGTAAAGATAAACAGCATTTTAAACTCTGCCTTTGCTATCTGTATCTGAGGAGAGTGTCTGGTGATTGGAAGAGGGAATTAACACTAAGGCATTCCTGAAATCTAACCCTGGCTCTGACAAAAATTGTTCAGCAGCTACAAATAAAACATACCTCAGTTTCCTCATCTAGATATGGTGACTTCTATTATGACACAAAAACATATCAGAATTAATTCAAAAGTTAAAAGTTCTGAATAGACATTACTGGAAGGTGGACTCTTCGTATTTTGAACTGTCTTCTCCTCCAAATAGCGGTAAAAGAGAAAATCAAAAGCCATTAAGAATCTCCTGCAAAGTATTTTTTTTTTTAAAGTGACAGGAATTGAAACATTTGGTTTTGATGACAAGTCTCCTTCCCCTACTAGCCTAGAAGAATTGTTTTAATAGAAGCAATGTAGGGAGAGGAAGTTGAGAAGTTCAGTGCAGAAGAGGTGCGAATGGACCACTCTGGGTGCAAGGACAAGGCTCCCTGGCCAAGCCCCACGTGCCCATACACATAAATCCCACCTGCTCTTTCAGCTGACGTAGTTATAGACCTTTTGCTGAGGAGCTCAGCTGATTTATCTGTGAGAGCTCAGCCAAAAGACAGCACTGCCAAAGTACAAAGCGAGTGCAGGCAGCCTGAATTCAGACTGGAAACCAGTGACAAGCTGTGGAGAATGGCATGGTGCAGAGTTGGCCAACCCACTCATCTCATAGGCAGACCTTCAACATGCCAAAAACAGATCTGTGCCCAAGAGCAGGGTCTGACATCCATACACGATTCACCAGCTTCACAGGCAAGAGCCTTTAAGCTCACTCTTGCTAAACACTGTAGATTGACCCAAGAGATACCATAAGAGCAAATGTGTGGGAGAGAAAGGATTAGGAATGAATTCTCCCAAGAGTGCTTAAGGCAATACAAATGAAAAGGAAGGTAAATATACGCTAATACAAACCAGTTTTAATCTTTTGAAGTGATTAAAAAATAAGTCCTATTCTTTGAAAGAACGTTAGCTTAACAAAGGCCAACAATGTAACAGGGTCTGACTAAGTCCAGATCTTCTAAAGAAATATTTAATAAAAGATTGTCTTTCATTCAATGCTCTCAATTCTGACTATTCTATGTTCAGGATGAGAAGATGGAAATTTTTCACTAAACTGGAAAAAGAAATCATGGGAAACATGTTTCTTTGACAGCTATCTTAAGTCGTTTGGTTAAAATAAAATAGCAACTAATTCACTCAAAATCAAATTTCTAATATTGGCCTGTTCCCCCTTAGAGTCCTCAGCTCTTGAGGAACTATGATTTTCTTTTTAAATTAAAGAATCCCAAGGAACTTCTTTTTATAATGTGATTATAGCACCACAGAACATTTTAGAATGGAAAAATGACAGGCTTCTTTTATAAAGGTTCTGCAGAGAGATGTTAGATGGTCTTTTCCCCCTCACTGCTTGATGAACTTCTGCAAGGTTACAAAGTCTGTGAGAAAGCAGTTAATCAGAATGGAGCTCAATTGCTACTTTCAGAGCAAACATTTTCAATTAATCTGAAGTCATTAATTACTTCTTCCTTTAAAAAAGGCTCTGCTGTAATTTTCTTTTTTTTACTCTCAGTTAATCGATTGAAACATATGCCAGAATCACGTGCAAGCGCATAGGAAAATTTGGTACTTAAATAAACTACTCTCCAGTGAAGACAAAAAGTACAAGAAAAATAGTTTTGAACCAACCTGGAAGAAGAACACTTTGTACACTGACTGATGCACAAGGTAAGGGTGTGGTATCACCGATGTGTATTTCTCTTCAGAATAACATGAACAACTCTGACAATAGGGAAAAAAAGACAGTGTCAAAGATGACCTCGTAACCACTTTTCCCTCCTCTTTTAGTACTTGCACACAGTGTGTTTGCTGCCAAGCAGGGAAGTCTTTTGCCTGGAGAAGCATGGTGCCCTGTCTCGCCACGGCCCCTCCGAAAAGAAAGTGCTGCTGCCCATCTCACTCGCTGGCCACGATCCCCGAGGATCCAGCAGAGCTGGAACGCTCTCACAAAATATTTTACAGTTGAAAAACAAAGCCTTTCACTGGAAACTTGTTTCGCCTCAAAATTACTGCCTAAACCTGTTTTATAAATGGGCTCTTTCTTTTTTCCATGGAACAGCGCTGAAAAAGAGAGGAAGGCAGAGCTGCTAACGACTCCATCGTGTAATGTTGGGGTTTGACCCGGTGCGACGGTGAGCATACCAAGGGTGTTAATCAGCAGAAAGCAATGTGGGGACACATGCTGAAGGTAAACCAAGAAAAAAGAATTGGGGGAAAAAAGATGAGTAACTGAAGAGAGAACAGTTCATTTTTCTAATAGAAAGTGGAAAAAAAAAAGAAGAAAAGGCTGAAAGGAGCAGAAGAGGTAGAGTATCTACTCCAAAGGCAACATATTGCAACTGTGTCATTTCTTAGACTGGGTTAATAGGTACATCAAGGAACTGAGATACTGGGTAAAAAACATCCTGACATTAAGAGCTGGCACAATAAAGGGCTTATATCTACTGCTCAGCGACCAAAGGAGAGACTGTGCCTTGATGTGCAAACACAAAAGAGAAAAACGACACCTTCAGCACAGCCTGGATCTCCACAGTGAGAGGAGATGGCAGGTTGAGAGACACTCTTCTGTTCTAAGGAGACCAGCAGAAAAATAACCAACCTGTAGGATGCTGGGCTTGAGCTTTACATTAAATGTTTGCAGTCATGAACTGGCTGAGCACTGGTGTTCAATCGTCCATTCATCCATCCATCCATCCGCCCAGCCATCCATCCTTCCTCCCATGAGCTCGCTCCTCCTGCCATGAAGATTTCGTGGTTTGGGGGCTTTCAGTAATTTTATTTTAGTTGCTGTTTTAAAGCTACCAGTTTGCAACCTTGGGAGCCTGACATCTTCCATTTACTATGTGAGCTGCCCTGCCAGGGTGCTCCAGCCCTTGGCACAGGCTCTGTGCCACAGGTCCTCTGTGCCTCTTTTAGTCAGTGATCCAACAAGTAGAGCTGGGAATCACTGACAGGACAGGGGATAAGGGATTGGCCTGGTCCTTCTCACACCTGAAAGTGATAATTGTCCTACATGCACCTTTATTTTTAAAGAGACAGAGAACATTTGGGGCTATATTGCAGGGATTATTTAGTTTTTCAGAATGAATAGAGCCCCTTTTCTCCCTCTCCCCCAAATGATTGCTGAGAACAGCAGAAGACCACTGATGAATATTCCAAGGTGTAAGGTCCTACAGACATCACATGCATCTTTACAGCTCAAAAAAGAAAGCCAAGAAGGGCTCCTTATGCCTCGCATCTATGAATGGCCCATTCTTCTTCACACTTTCAAAGTCCCAGTAAGGCAGCATGGAATGCCCTGATGCAGATAAGCCAGGTATCCCAGTTCCCAGCTGCCTGCATTGGTGGGTTCAGCCCTGTTCCAGAGAGAAGTTCCTTCCCTGCCAGGAGGTGAAAGTCACTTTTTTATGTCTCTACCAACATTTAAAAGGAGTCAATCTGGACTCAGAGCCTGTTTGGTAACCACTTGCTCCTGCCCTTACGGATGCTTGAGGTGGCACTGCACTGCAGAGACTGGGATTGACATGTTAGAGAAGGACAAGAGGCAGGATATGACCAGGAAATCATATGCTGACTCCACGTAAAAAGCAGAGCAGAACTCACTATGAGAGGTGCCAGGGCTCACGTGTCGCCCTGCAGCAGGAGCCCCTCTGCCCCAGAGCCCGGGGCTGTGCCTCGGAGCTGTAACTGGGACACAAACAGCGGTACTGGGCAGTCGTGCAACAGGACACTGGACTGGATACAAGGAAATAAAGGTATTTACCAAGAGGCAAATGAGAACTCACAAGAAACAGAGGAAGTGCGGGGAGGGGATTTTTTTTCCAAGTCATTCTGTCTCCACAGACGCAGGTGAACAAAACAAGCTGAAATTGGTATTTCCCTCAACACTCTTTGAATGCATTGAAGAAATTTGGCTCAGTGAAGCCAAGAAGTATCAAAACAGAAACACTTCACAATTCAAAAGAGAACATTATTAAATTAAATCACATAAATCATCTAAGTATCACCTCTTCTTTTTAATATAAGCAAAAATCCAGCGTTTTGAAGCAAAGATCTTTCAGACTGAAATGGATACCCTCCTCTTCGTTTCACATGATGGATAGTGTGACTGTGCCAACAAGTTCTGAATGAAACTGGAAAATCAATCAAACATCTTAGAAGGAAACCTTGTTTCAGGGGGTCTTGCCTTTTCTATTTCCCCAGTGAATATCTAGCACAGAAATTGATGGTATTGCAAATTTTAGGTATTTCTATTTGACCTAATTTTGATCCTAATTTTAAAAAAGAAAAATATTTATGTACAACAGATTCTGCTACACAGAACTAGAAGATCCTCTGTGCACTAAATGCCAAAAAAAAAAAAACCAAAACCCACAGCCAAACAAGGAGTGAATATAAGATAAATAATCTAAAATGAAAACTTCTGA